ATGAACCGCATATACACACACACTCGTATCTTTCAGACCATGTGGTTGGTAGTCAAGGCCTGAGAACTCTTGATTCGAGTGGCGTTTCATGTCAGACCCAGGGTAATGGCTTTACTTTGACCCAAATCATTTTATTTATCAAGAGAGAAAAAATTAGAGGTGTCAGTATTTGATTGGGCAAATAACAGTTTTATTGTTGTTTGTTTCTTAGAGGGTCTCATTCTGTCACCCAGGCAGGAGGGCAGTGGCATCGTCATAGCTCACTGCAGCCTCGAACTCCTGGGCTCAAATGATCCTATGTTAGCCTCCTGAGTAGCTGGGATTGTAGGCACGTGCCACCATGCCCAGCTAATTTTTAAAAAACGTTTTGTAGAGACAGTCTTGCTATGTTGCCCAGGCTGGTCTCAAACTCCTGGGCTCAAGCGATCCTCCCGCCTTGGCCTCCCAAAGTGCTGGGATTACCAGAGTGAGCCAGCGTGCCTGGCCTGTCTTGGATTTCTTTAGGTCTGTCCTGGTCAGAGTTCACTCAGCATCTTGATTCCGTACGTTGATGCCTCTTGCCACAGTTGGGACGTTTCAGCCATTGTTTTTTCCAGTACTTCTTCAGCTCTGTCCTCTTTCTCCTCCCTTTCTGGGATCCTGATGCCACGAGCGCCAGGTCTTTTCTTACGCTTCCACAGGTCTCTGGGGTCTCCTCCTTTTTTCAGTTTCTTTCCTCTCTTGTTGTTCAGATTGGCCAGTTCCTATCCGAGCTCCAAGCGCGTGGAACTTTCCTCTGTGCTCTCGATTCTGCCACTGAGCCCACCCACTGGGGTTTTTGTCTTGGTTATTGTATTTCTCGGTTCCAAAATTTCCACTTGGTTCTTCTTTACAGCTTCTGTCTCTTTACTGAGACTTTCTATTTTTTATTTGTTTAAAGTGTGTTTGAAATAGTTAATTGAAACATTTTTTATGATGGATGCTTTAAAATCTTTGTTAGATAACGCTAACCTGTGTCACGTCAGGGCTGGCATCTATTGTGGTCTTTTGTCATTCAGTTTGAGATTTTCCTGATTGTCGCTATGACAAGTGAACTTCCACTGAAACCTGAACTTTTTGGGTACTATTGTACGAAACCCTGGATCCTATTCAAACCTCCTGTTTTTAGCTGGCTTGCTCTCACGCTGCTCTGGCAGGGGACAGGTTGGGGGTGCCACCTCACTATGGCCAGGTGGGGACAGAAGTCCAGGTTCTTCATTCAGCCTCCAGCGACACCTGGAGGGGGCGTTGTTCTCATTATTCCTGGGCAGAGTGGGAGTTCTGGCTCCCCCCTAGGCCTCCACTAATACCCCCCTTGTGGGTGTCCTAGGACTGCCTTGCTACTGCCCTTCCCCGTGGCCTCCACTGACACTGTGGCGGGGTCAGGGTCTCATTCCTGCGCAGCTCTGGAGATGAAGTCCTGGCTCCCTCCGCGGCACCCTGCAGCTTCCTCCCGGTAGGGGTTCCGGCCACCTTGTTAAGAGAGTGAAGGTCTAGGCTCCTCCCCGCTTGCCTTTGCGGGCCTGGTGGAGGCATCGCCTTGCTGCGGTGTCTGGAGCTGTTATTTTCTAACCTTCGGTCCTGCTGGGCTGCGTTGCCTGTCCAGTGCTGGAGCGGAGTGTCCTAGTCTCAGCTCACTGCAGCCCCGAATTCCCGGCCTCGGCTCATCCTCCTGGCTACAGGTGTGAGTCACTGCACACGGCTGAGGACAGCTTTCGCTGGGGCTGCTCGGGTCTGTGCCCATCGGCGTTTGCAGGCTGCTGGCTCCTTCGGCCCAGGTCTGGTGTGTGTGAGGCAAAGAGAAGACCCAGGGAGCTCGCCTCTGCGCGCTCTGCGTCCTGAGGTCCCTAGCCGGGCTGCCTGTTTCTCAGCCCTTCGGAGTCCTCTATGTTTGTTTTATATACTGCGTCCAGGATGTTGGCTGTACTTAGCAAGAGGTGGAGAGAAGTCTACATCTACCTGCTCCATCTTCCTGGAAGCAGAAATCAGCAAGTTTTTTGTTTGTTTGTTTTTATTTATTTATTTTTTTTGAGACAGAGTCTCACTGTGTTGCCCAGGCTAGAGTGAGTGCCGTGGCGTCATCCTAGCTCACAGCAACCTCAGGCTCCTGGGCTCAAGCGATCCTCCTGCCTCAGCCTCTCAAGAAGTTGGGACTACAGGCATGCGCCACCATGCCCGGCTAATTTTTTCTATATATATTTTTAGCTGTCCAATTAATTTCTTTCTATTTTTGGTAGAGACAGGGTCTCACTCTTGCTCAGGCTCATCTCGAACTCCTGAGCTCAAAGGATCCACCTGCCTCCGCCTCCCAGAGTGCTAGGATTACAGGCGTGAGCCACCGCACCCGGCCTGTTTGTTTTTAAGTTGGATTGGAGATTGTCAAGCTTTCTGGTTTCCAGAGCCGCCTTGGTTTTTGTCATGAATAAAACAGGATAAAATCCTGACTTCAAAATGTAGCATAAGAATCTCTCTTTTGCGTTGTAATAAAAGCAAAAGTTTCGTGGGCTGCATGTTAGAAAATAATCAGCTCTGATCCTTTATATCTTGCTCAGACTTTAATACCCTGGCGTTGGGATTTCCTTAGCCTGCAGTACCCGCTCCCCACCCCCTCAGTACTTTTCCTCCTTCCTCCAGGGACACCTGAGCACAAGGCTCGTCCTCAGCCTGGTCTGCCCGCCCGGCTCAGCTACGCCGGGGCCGCAGGCAGCATCACCCTGGCATCTGGGCTCCCCATCCCCTGCTCTTGACTGTAGACAGCGCAGGTGAGGAGGAGACAGGCTCTGATGCCGGTCAGCTCCACGGTGGAGACAGCTACCTCCTTCCAGGTGAATAACCTCACCGCTTTCCCACCTCCCAGTCAGGCACCATGGCCGTTCTCAGGACTGTCCGTGGATTCCTCACTTCCCGAGGTGGCTGGCAAACACCTTTCCTTGATAACAAGCACCACTGTTGGCAGCTGACTTGTCCAGCTCCAGCAGTGTTCCCTCTGGGAAGACGTCACCTCGCCCCTCACTTAGTTGGGCAGCAAACGGCACCACAACGGCTCCTTGTCCCTCACTTCCCTTTGCTCACCTTCCAGCTGCCACCACCTGCCCGCCCCGACCCTGCCACCATTTATTCCTGAACGGAAGGAAAGGTTTGGAGAAGGGGGTAGAAGATGGAGGCGGAGGAGGGGCCCGAGACAGCTGCAACCACCAGCTCTGGGGCCGCGCATCTGTGCAGAGGCCGGGCCCGTGGCAGTCCACGAACACCGCTCCGGGGACTCCTGCGTGCCAGGTGCCACCCTGGGAACCCAGAGCTCAGTACAATGTCATTAATCTGTTTGCTCCTTCAGGAAGCTTTGTTCTCAGGGGGCTACAGTGTCGTGAGGAGAGAGAAATCTGTAAACGGAATTAGTGACAAGCATTCTGATTAGGGTGGTGCCACACATGCTGGGGCCAGAGGGACAGGAAGGGCGCCCTTGACAAGGTGTCTCCAGAGCAGAGCCCTGTGGGAGGTGAGGGGGTTGCAGGCACTGGAGGGACGCGTGCGAAGCCCTAGGTGAGCGAGGCCAGGCCGCAGCTGCAGCCGATGAGGTCTGGGGGGCTGAGCGCACAGGAGGAGGCAAGGCTAGCAGTGGCTGGGCAGGACAGGCTGCGGGCAGGGGGCTGGGGCGAGTAGCCCAGGTGTGGCCCTAGTGCAGCAGCAGCAGCAGGGAGCTTGTTGGGAACAGTTCTGGCCCACCCAGCCCTCCTGACTTGGTATTCTGGGCAGGGGTGTGGTGGCTTATGTCCTGATGAGGCCTCAGGGCTCCTGATGCCTGCTGTAGTCGGAGAGAAAGAGAATTCAGGAAATGTGGAGGTAAATGATGCCGTGAGGGGACAGGGAGTGAAGGGTGGCCCAGGTGTTTAGAGCAACAGGTAAGTGGCATCCCTGCACCCCAAGCTGGGAGTGGACCCCGGGGTCTGAAGCATAGGAGGCTCGAGGCCACAGGAGCGTGCAGAGCCGGGAAGAGCCGGAGGGAGCCTGGGGAACGGTCCATGGCAGGGGAAGGCGTTTAGCACCAGCAAGTGTCACCAAGCAGAGGCCGGGAAGCAAGGGCTCCTGTGTCTCTTGGAGCAGGTCTTAGGTGGCAAACTACCCATGGGGGGACATGTAGAAAGACACCCCCCACTTCCATGTCACAAGCTGCTTTGGTAACAGGAGAGGGCCTGCGTGTGACCGTTTAACGTCACAGAACGACGTCTGGCTCTTCCTCCTCAGCTGTTTCCTTTTAGGGTCTTCTGGTCTGAGCTTTCTCTTCCTGCTCGGAAGACCCCCGCCTCTGATTTCAGGAGAGCCGCTCCCACACGCTGCCCTGCACGCGGCACCGTCTGAGCGCACACATCCCGAGCCGCGAGATCACTCAGATCTTACACTGACCCTTCCACCCTGGCCCGCTGCCCCCGACAACCTCTGCTCTGTCACTCGGCACCTCCACCCTCGGAGCACCAGATCACGCGCTCGCCTCGTGGCTGTCTTTCATTCCCGTCTCCTGCGACAGCAGCTCCACGAGGGCAGGGTCTGTTTCATGCTTTTGTTTGTCGCAGTAACAGACACACCTTCATAGTTATCTTGGACTTAGCTTAACATTAGAATAACTCTGTGTTCCCTGGACATGCAACAGGAGAAGGTGTCTCAGAGATGCTCTCCACAGTGGAATTTGGGTTTAAAACTGAGGCTAATACACAGGATTATTGTCAAGCGTTAGCTTTCAAAACACGCTGGTGGCGTGGCAATGAGACAGCAGTGCGGAAGAGTAAGACAGTCACAAGTAGTTGCTATCTTTTATTTTGCCACCTAAAATAAAATAATTACAAAAAATATTAAATTATAACAACACAGCATCAAGGCGAAGAGAACAGGAAGGGCTTACTCTGCGTAAGTTGGCATAAGATTATGCAGCATCTTAAAGTTTGACTTTAAATGACAACGCACAGGCGGACGTGGGGGACGGCGTCCCCTCAGGCGTGCTCGGGGTCCTCTGAGGAAACGGAGACTGCCGAGGGGAGGTCGGGCAGGCCATCGAGGGCCCCGGTCTCTGCGGAGGGAAGGGCCACGCGTAAGCACACAAGGTACACACGTCACAGTCTGAACTACAGGCTCCCGTTCGTCTACCGTGCTCACAAAACACGGTTTGTGATGGCTGACAAAGAACCTGGCTTCTGGCACAGCGGCCGTCACCATGCCAACAAACACGGGTCCAGCGGAGTGAACTGCACCCTGAGGCCCCCCTCTTCTCGGCAGCAACGCTGTTCTGATGACCGTCCAAGGGTCGGCGGCGTGACTGTGCCGCAGCCCCGGCCCTCTGCAGCTAGTCCAGGTGTCACGTGCTAACCTACGGCAGTGCAGGGCCTGGCATTTACAGGGATAAGTGGCTACTTCCCAGTGAAATTTATGGAATCCTTTCTTGATAGGCTCTTTCTACGTCCAGTGTCCTAGGAGGAATTTTAAGTTGGTAATTATTTCACATACCTTTGAGATGCAAGAATGTCAGAAATTCAATTATCGTGCGCACAATATTGTTCTCAGGCATTGATCTCTCGAAGCTTCCTAGGAAACAAAAGAGGAATGTTTACAACTTTCATGTGCTTCTGTGTCTCAGGACATCACCATCCTATGGAGGAGCTGGCACTGCGAGGTCATCGAACTGACCCTGAGTGGCCCAGGGCATCACTGTGCTTCCCCCGGACCTTGCCCAGGGTGTGGGAGGGACCTGGTTCAAGACCCCGCTCTCCCGGAGGCCCCGGTGCTGGGCAGCATCCTAGTCTAGCAGGACTCCCCTTGCTGTCTCTGCAGCCAAGCTTCCTCTGGGGTTTCACTGGTTGTGTTTCTCGCTGCTGAGGGGTGGTGAAGTTGCATCATCTTAGTCAAGCTGTGGCCAGGCCAGGCTGGGCTGCAGCTATAAATGGAGGGTGACAGGTCCCCTGATACCCACTGCCACCCCTGAATGCACCTGGGAGACGGTGGGTAGTGAAGTGACCCAGAGCCCCCGGGGTTAGCGTCCTCTCACCTGGCTTCACTTCGTCTTCAGGTTGGAGTTCCCGCTTGCCCGCAAGGCCATGCTTGTCATTAAATGATCTGTGGCTGTCAACAGCATCTGTTTGCACATCAGAGAGGGAAACATCTGAGTGTTACTGTGGTTTGAACACGTGGCTGCTTATAACCAAAGCACACACACAACTCAGCTGCAAAAATAAAGTCAGATTAGGGAGACCACAGCAGGGAAGGCGATCCTCCATGGACCCTGGGCCAAGAACATGGGCACACGCGCCAGGGCCACAGGGAAGGTGACCGTGTGCACAGCTCTTACGCTGGGCTACAGGTGGACGGAAGGGGCTGCCCAGTTAGGAAGGGGTTGGAGAAAGGGGAATGTATGGCTCCAGCAGAGTGGGACGGGTCCAGGAGCGCGTGCCTGGTGCCGCAGGAGCACCCAGGTCCCAGGGAAGCGGGCATCCAAGTTGGGCGTCTCCCCGGCAGACGATGGACGGGGGTTGTTACATCCCTGAAAACAAGGGGGCCACTGAAGAATTGTAATATGTGATGGAATCAGATTTTTATTTTCATGGAATCAGATTTTTATTTTCAAAGACCACTCTAGCAGCTGTGTGGGAGAAGGGTTGGAGCCGGGCGGGGGGGCAGGGGGACGAGAGAAGCGGCGGTAGGAGGAGGAAGAGGAGAGGGAGTGTGTGTGTGTGTGTGTGTGTGTGTGTGTGTGTGTGTGTGTGTGTGTGTAGAGTGGTGTGAGAATGGGGGCACTGCGACTGCAAGCAGAGAAATCCCCTAAGAAACTGTCACAGGAGCCCAGAAGAGAGACAAGGAGGGCGTGACCCAGAGGCATGGCTGGGGAGGAGGCTGGCCCTGGGTTGCCGAGGGAGGGAGCTGGCGGGGGGAGGTAAGGACCAGGCTGAGGACAGCTCCGGGTCCTGGCTACTTGGCCTGGGTGGATTGTGCCATCTGCGAGCTACACTAGGGAAAATCAATTCCTTTTTCCAGAGAGAGAGTCCTTGGCCCTAAATTTGTAGAGAAATTATAAGTGACCTGATCTCACAGAGGCACCCTCAGGCACGGCCACACTCGAACGTGCAGCTGCAGCTGTTGCACAAACATTCTTATGTCGCCGTTTCCCAGCAGACAGGAGACGCTAAGGCGTGCTATTAAGTTGTAAAGCATTTTGATAGCTAGTCTACATGTACAGCTTCTGGTGATCCAACCCGACAGAGAGATAAACGATAGTAAAAATGAGTTTGTTTTCTAATCAGGATTCAAAATCTTGATAAATATATTTTCAATATTCCAAAGTAGCACAGATAGAAGGTTTTGTTGAAGAGTTCCTCCTTTCTTTTGGGCCAGGAGCACACAGACAGGAGGTGCCTTCTGCGTAAGAGATGGGGGGCAGATGAGGTCTGAAGCCCCCAGGAATGAGAACATCTGCTGTGGTGAGGGATGCAGAGGCGAGGATGAGGAAGAGGAGGAGGAAGAGGAGGAGGAGGAGGAGGAGGCTGATCAGGGGTCTGGGGCTGCCTTTCTGGGGATGGGAGAGGGTGCTGCCCAGGGGCCCACAAATACTGAAGTCAACAGCTGGTTACCCTGCATGGAACCACCCTGCCTGGCTCTCTCCGAGACATCCCCATTTCCCTTTATTGACTAAAGCTGGATATTAACGTATCAAAGTGATGTCTGGCTACCCCTGCCTCAGAAACAGCAGGATTAACAAACATGGCTGCAATCGGCATCAGAAGGCTGGGGTCAGAGGCCATGCACTTAGCGGCACTTACGTGGGCCGAGAAGGTAGCCAGCGCTGTTCAGGGTCCAGCCTCTCTTTTCCTTTGCCTTGAATAGGAGAAAGTGGGGGGAGGTCAGATGGCAAGAACAGGAGAGAATATTAAATGAAAGGTACCCAGGCTTCCAGGTATCACAGAGGAATTAGAATGATGAGTGTACGTTTGGAAGCCTCAAGAAATTCCAGATTTACCCCTAAATAAACTGTATTTGACATGAAAGTAGGACTACTTGTTTTACCAAATAATTCACTTCAGAGCCAGAGATCACAAACTCACAGTGCACCCCACTTGCTTTTAAATGATGCTAAGGACGCACGTCGATGACCCCTTGTCCTCTGGGTCTGACTGCTCCTCTCCCGGACTGCATGAAATGAAGTGTGCTCGCAACTTGCCACGGCTGCCCGACGCGCAGCACTTGCCCAGCGGCGCTGGCTCAGCGCCTGGGCCTCTTTACGCTGCACAGGGAGCAGCGGGAGGCGGCAGAATCCAGACAGGAAGCCCCCGGCCCGCCCGGTCCCGCCGGCCCGCGCAGGCCCTTCCCCGCGCCACCCGGGCGCAGGCGGGCAGAGCCGGTGCTCCGTCTCCCGCTGCCCCTGTCCCCTCCACTCCCAGAGGGGCCGCGGCTTTGCGGGCGTCTGCCCCCGCCCGGCACTTACCGGAGCCCCGAGCCCCTGCGTGGCCGAGAGCGCGGCGGCGACCAGGAGCGAGGCGAGCAGGAGGGCGCTGCCCGTGGCCATCTGGAAGGGAGGGAAGGGCGGCGCACGTCGGGCCGGCCGGGACCAGCGGGGAGTGGGGCACCGCGCGCCGGGGCAGCCCCGAAAGACGCGGGCATCTGCATCGGCATCGGCGGGGCCCGGGCGGAGGGCCCGCCCCGGAAAGGAGCGCTCGGGGGGCCGCGGAGGGGCTCGGCCGGGACGCGGCGGGTACCTTGAGCGGCGGCTGCGCCGGGGGCCGGGTGGCGGCGGTCGGGCGGCGGTCGGGGCGGTCGGGGCGGCGGTCGGGCGCTCACCGCATGGCGCGGTCGAGCGGCGGAGGCGGGAAGCGCGGGCCGGGCCCCCTCGACGTGTCCGCGGCGGAGTCGCAGCTGCCGCCGCCGCCGCCGCCGCTATTTATGCGGCTCCCGCAGCCGCGTCCGCCGCGTCACGGGGCTCGGTGCCCGCCCCCCACCGCCTCGCCGCGCCCGGAACTCCAGTCCCCGGGCCGCCGCGATCCTTCAGCACGGGGGCGGCGGGCCGCGGAGAGCCCCCGTCACCCGGCGGGAGGGACGCCCCCAAATCCGCTAGAGCCCCCCAAACCCGGCGGGAGAGACCCCAAACCCGAGGCCCTGGTCACCGCTGTGGCGGAGAGCGCCACCCCATTACCCAGCCTGGGGTCCCTGCCGGCCCAGCGCCGGATCTTCCCGGCGCCCCAGACACCTCAGTCCAAGCCAGGCCGGTCGGAGGTCCTGGGGCACCGGGCAGCGGTGGGCGCACCGCCTGCCCTCGCCAGGGTGGAGTGAGGCTTCAGGCCTGGGAGCGTGGATGCGGGGAGGATGCGGGGAGGGCAGGAGCTCCTCCGCCTCCTGTGCCCAGCGACCCCCTCTGTTGCTCCACAAGGGAACAGTCAGCCGTGCTGTCAGGCCCAGGGGCTGCTGGGCCATCCCAGCGCGGGGGCTGTGGGCCTTGGCCACAGGGCTTAGAAGCTCAGCCTGTGGATGCGCCTGTGCCTGCTCCCTGGTCCGCTTGAAAGAGCATGTTTGAGCAGGGGCCGGTAGTGGTGGAGGGGGCGAGTCCCGCCGCGTCCAGAGCTGAGACCAGCCCAGACTCCGGGAGGTGGCCAGGGGATGGGCAGGTGGGCACAACAGCTGCAAGAGGCTGTCCTGTGGCAGGTGGCAAGGTCCTCGTGGCTTGTCCAGGACACTTCCTCAGCTGCACCAGGCCCAAGGACAGTGCAGTGAAGGGCACAGGCCCACGCTCTTCCTTCACCCAGTTCATGGACGTCAGGAGAAACACAGCTGTGGCACGTCCAGGTTCCTGCAAAGGGAGGAGCCCGGCCCCTGTAAGTCTGCGTGACCCTCCCCCTGCCTGGCTGGACACCACCAAAGTCCACAATAGTGGCAGTAGGGACATGGTCTCCCCCACACCAAGCTGAGTTTTAGATTGGTTTGATGTCATCTGGGACCCTGGGGCCAACAGGGTGCATCACAAATGATCATAATGACGGTGCCATCTTATACGTCTCCTACATGTTAGTCTTCAGAACCTTTGTGCAGACACTGGGAGCTGCCCCCAAAGAGAGCCACCTGCCCCACATGGGTGAGGAAGGACTCGGGCACCCTGGCCGGGCCAGCTGGCTGGTTAGGAGGGCGCAGGGCCCCCGCCTGTGCTGCCAAGTGCCCGCTCTGGCTGATGGGAGGAAAGGGCATGCTGGCAGGAGACCTGGCTTGGGGAGGAGTCTTAGGAACAGACTCCTGGCGTGACGGGGGTGAGGGGTGGGGGTGCTCTCAAGGACACAGTTTGACTGCCGGTCACTCCTATTTCTGGCAGCCAGGGGTGGGAGGACAGTGAGGGGCAAGGGGCCCTGACTAGGACTCTCAGACTGATTTCCGAGGCCCAAGGTAAACCCTGAAGTGTATTCCTGCTGGGGAGGGGTGAAGGAGGGAGGGCTGTCACCTTGGCAGTCTGGGCCCGTGGTGGGCAGAGGGACAGCTGAGATGTGGAGCAGCAGAGGGCAGCTTTCTGTGACGCAGCAGAGAAGTGAGGGGACGCCCTCTGGGGCCCCGTGTCCTTGTATGCAGATGGTGTGGGGAGTGGGCAGGGGCTGGAGCCGGCCGAGAAATGCCACAACCTCTGATGACGGTGGCTTCACGTGAGTCCTGTTGTCATTCCAGAACTCTCCTTTTCCTTCTGAGGACAGACCCATCCCCTGCATAGTACATCCTGGTCAATTTCAGCCTCTCCTTCCTTCTGTTAGGCCGTTTCTTCCGGATCGTGCCAGAGCTTGCTTACACTTATTTGCTCAATTTACTTTGTCACGGAGGCTCTTAGTCTGTTTGAGGGAGCAGAAACTCTAAACCCAAATCACAGAGATGAATTCAAGAATAGACCTAAAGCCCGTCCCTAGTCCTGGGCGGAAGATGAGGCGTGTTCTGTTAAGCTTTCGACTGCCTTCACTTAGGTCTGTGTACTCTTTTTGTTTCCTTTTTTGCTTTAAAAGAAACTTCAGGGTAGTTTATCTGATAAGAGCCTCCTTATTAAAAAAAATTGCCTTTAAGTCATCCATTTTCTTGCAAATGTCTAAAACCTACAGGTGCAGAGAGACGTGCCTCTCCGTAGCATCCATGATTCTTTCATGTTTTCCAAGATCCTAAAGAAAATTCGGTCACGGACAGGCCAGGGTCTGAATACCCCAGAGCCACGGTTCAGGTCTCCAAGTGGGGAGGTAGCGCGGCAGGCAAACCGGGCGCACTTCTCGCCTTCGCTAAGTGATCCACTCAGGTGCAGTCATCAAACTGTTCATCAGAACAGCCCCCAGGCCCTCCCGGGGAGCAGAGCCCTAACGCACCGATCCCCTGTAGTGGGCTGGGTGTGGCCATGGGGGACAGGGGGGCGGATTGGCACAGACCCCGGGAGGCGTCAGCCCTGTCACTGACAGAGCAGCAACACTGAAAAAAGAACCAAAACCACCTTTCGCCACCTTTTCCACGTCTCATGGAAAAATTGTAAGCAAATCCTCACAAGTATCATGAATCCATTTACGAAAGCTATGCTGAATAAACACACGTACTCAAAACAAATATGCCACACCTGCTTCCTCTAGGTCCCTAAGTTCTTTCGCCACTTGGGGTGACACCCACTGTCGTTACTTCTCCCTTGGTCTGGGCAAGTGGGGCTCTGTGCAAATCCTGGACCGCGGCTGGCGACCCTGGCAGGGAAGTGCGAGGAGCAGGGGAAGGCCACGGGCCCAGCAAGGCAGTGGCTCCGAGGCATGCTGTGGTCCCCTGGGTGGGCAGATTCGTTCAGACAAATGAGGACGGCACACCCGGGGCGACAGACGCCTGCTTCCCAGCACAAGCTGTGCTGGAACCACAGCCCATGGGATAATGGCTCTTCGCTCAGCAATGACCCAATGGGAGTCATTGTCAACTTGTCATCTTGAAGACGGCCCAGTGTGTGGCAGACAAAATGGATCACCATTATGGTAATGGAATCAGGCAGAAAGCATCATTTACTGTGCCTCCCGAGCTTGTGAGCGAGCCGTTCCCTCTTCCCTTAGCAGCTCTGTTCACTGTCACGGACGAGAACCGACCTGAATCTGCTGACCCAAATGGGAGAGAACACCTGGGCTGGGGCCCCACTCAGCAGCTCATCCATGCGTGCCCCTGACTCTGGGGTGGGAAATCGCAGCGGAGGTCCCGCCCTTATGCAGATTACAATCTGGTGAGTCATAATCCAGATACCGCCGGCAGCCACGGATCCACCCTCCCGTGGATCCTGTACGGTGCAGTCAGGCCTACTGGTTGCATCAGTACTGACACATCTGGACTTTTCCTTTTCTTTTTTCTTTTTTTGAGACAGACTCTCACTCTGTCACCCCTGCTAGAGCGCAGTGGCATCCTCATAGCTCACTACAGCCTCAGACTCCTGGGCTCAAGGGATCCTCGTGCCTCAGCCTCCCAAGTAGCTGGGACTATAGGCGCTCACCACCACACCCAGCTAATTTTTTCTGTGTTTAATAGAGACGGGGTCTCGCTCCTGCTCAGGCTGGTCTCAAACTCCTGACCTCAAGTGATCGTCCACCCTTGGCCTCCCAGAGCGCTAGGATGATAGACGTGAGCCACCATGCCTGCTGGCCCAGACTTCTTTTCTTGTTATTATTTCCTAAACAATACAGTATAACAACTATTTACATGGTCATCTGGAGATGATTTAAAGTACACAGGAGTGTTCGGTCTTCTCTGTCATTCGGAGGATGTGAGTAGGCCATGTGCAAATACTACGCCATTTTACATCAGAGACTTAAGCATTCTTGGATTTTGGGATCCTTGGGGTGGAGGGGTCCTGGAACCAATCCCCCATGGACACAGATGACCAACTGTGTGCAACAGCAATTATATAATACAAATAACCCCCTCATTGTCATGAGAAGGAGGTGCGTGGATTCAGGGAGCCAGACCTAACAGGTGAGTAGGACTGCCCAGGTGAAGAGTGAGGCCCATCACATTCCAAGTGGAGGTGGGGATCACATGAGTAGGCCCCCTTTTGGTCCTTTTCCTTTCTTTCTTCCTGTTGCCTGGAATATGGACGTGAGGGCTGGAGGTGAGCAACTATTTTGGACTACAAGGACCACAGTCATCTTGGGATGGCTTCAGAGCACAGATAGTAGGACTGAAGGAGCCTGGGTCCTTGGGCTGCAGACCTCTAGGCTTGTTTCACAATAGAGAGAAAGAAGCTTCTGTCTTATTTAAGCCAATGTTATTTGGAGGTTTTCTGTCATACGCAGTTGGAATTACTCTTTTCAGTGTTATACACAAAACAGTCAACGAATGTTTGACGAAGGAATCAATGAGTACAGACAAATGAGAGGCTACACCACCTCCAAGGCTAGTAAGGAGCTAATGTCTGTGAGGTGGGCTCACAGAAGGGAGAGGCTTGGAAGAGAACATGACAAATGGATGCCACCTGCCAGTTCACGGTGATTTCATCGCTAGTGAAAAATACGAGGAAATGGCTTGATGATCTGTAGTTGGCTTTTACTC